CCCCCCCTCCCCATCTAAGTGCCTACTCGATCCTAATAGGTGGCATTGCCAAACCAAGTGCTGGAATTGCCTATAAGCTGGAACGTATGAAGTGTACATTTTCCGAAAGACCCGCACCCAACACTAGCGGTGGTACCGCTAAGACACTAGAAACCCGAGATAAGACTTTTTTTTATCTATTTTTGAAGCCATTTAGGGCCGATAAATACCCCACTCTTTTTTGCTTGAGAAAGCAAGAAAAAAAAAATTAAAAAGGCATATGATTATGAGTTATAAAAGCTTAAAAAGTATTGAGTATTTCCTTCCACCTCTTTAAAGTTTAGAGTTCATTCTAAGGGAGGTATGAAACTTATAAAGGTTCTTTCCTAAACTGTGAAAAGGAGAAAGAGTTGAGAAGAGGATAGTTAGTCTTTACCCATTGAAAGAAGATCATTAGTAAATGCCAATGGCCTTGACGGAAGAGGAATCGGGAGTGGACGTAGTTCGCGACGACCGAACGACTATAAATTTGGTATGTATTTCCTTTCTACTATTCATTGCTATTACTTTCTAATTTTGTTGCTTATTATACTTATTCTAAGTCAAGCATACTTTTTATATCGGCTTTCATCGAATGAAATTTTTAAAATCGTCAAAATTTTATGATAGCACTAATTTACAACACCCCCCCTCTTAGTGTTGTTATGGTCCTATCACTATTGATACTTAATAATTCTTGTAAAGTTGGCTGCCACACTTGAGAATCGGCTATGCTAGATCTAGAATTTCTAGGTTTATAAGTCCAATATCAAAGAGTGGAGTACTCATACAAGACATCATCGGTATCTCAAGTCTAAGGATCAGATATACCATTGGTATGAAGGAATCGCTATCTAACAATGAGGTATCATCAACCATCCAGCATTTCATAAGTGGATCAATCAGTGAACTCATTCTCCAAATAAGTACTTACACGGTATCCTTAGTATTCTCATACGAGCAACTATGAGACTAGCCGTCTATCTAGTCATCTCGATGTCACTCTCGATTGACTTATTAGCCTATTTTATAAAATTCATATGCACGTGTAAAATATTTTTTAAAAATTTTAGAATTTAATTAAAAAATATTTTTAAATAAATTTTTATTTAATTTAATTTTATTTTAAATTTTTTTATATCTTACTAATTAATAGACCAAGTGAGAGAATATTATATTATATGTTATCGAAAATAAAAATAAAGTCTAATTTTGGTAGAACTCTAAATCCTCAACTCTCGTCTCTAAAAGGATAAGATTTTCTAAAGACTAATAGGGGGATATGAAGAAAGAGGAGATGGGGATACATGATATTATTGAGAGACTACATATCTTCTCTCATCTCTGCTTAGTCATGTGAACCAATAAATGAAAGATTATATATTTTCTCATATCTCCCATTTATCTCTAATCAATTGCTGGTTTTATGAAAGACAAGAAGAGAGAAAAAGATGAATCTAATTTTTCTTATTGATTGGTATTATTATAGCTCTTGAATCCGACGATGATATACCCATAGATCAGATAAAAATTTTATAAGTGATATCAAGAGATGACATCAAAAGATGCATTATGTAAGTGACATCAAGAGATACACATCATAAATTTGATCAATTGTTATTTGATTTCAAATTTTAACAATAAAATTTTTTACATAATAAAAACTTATGGATGATTTTTATGCTTTTAATTTTATCTAAAACAGTGATTATTTGTATCATTTACTTTGTCATCACCTTAGTTTTTTTTATATAGTTAATATAGAGTTGGCTTGTCCAACTTTCTGCAGGTAACCAAATCCCTAAAAGGTCATGGACATACTTTGACGCTGAATTGAATTGAATAGAGAATGCTTAAAGGAAGACTTGGAGCTATTTCCAATCTTCAAATCATGATAAAATGATATTCTCCATGATTAAGGACTGCTTTGTTTAAACTATTTCAGTGCCTAGCTAATTGTATGATATCATCGACTAACATGATTAAAACTTATTAAAGCAAATAGTACTACTTTGATTACACAAACCTTGTAGCTCTAACTCACTTTTTTCAGGCTCCTAAATAGTCCTTTCTGAACTTGCACCAACCTTGACTGGGTCCACCATAATGTATGTCATGTCTACATAGCCTTCCTCTGTTGGCAAGGTTGATGACTCTTCAATGGATTTCTTAAACCCTAATTTCCTTCAAAACTTAGCTAAATTAGTAAATCTGATGTGGCCTGTTATTGGGAAGTACATGAGGCTGTTGATGACCTTTTTAGACTAATCATCCCAAGCAGATGATTGAAATGTTCTTTCAGAAACCCCACATGATAAGGCTCGACGTGGACCAAGGGACATAAAAGGGACACTTTTGCCTCCTCTTTGACATCTCCACCCTGTGCAGGTTGCATTGATGGAGCATGCATGCGTAGTCTCTAAAACCTGTTCTGAGGTCAATGACAAAACGGGTTGTCCCTACATTGTAGAAAGTTCAACGACAGTAATTTGATGACAGATGAAGTGAAATGGACCATCAATTGAGGATGGATTTAGTCATGTTTGTTTATTGTATCCAGGTTTTAGTCTAATTTATGTTTCCCTTCATATGATGAACAGGCATCACAATTGATCTTTAGAGCCAACAACAACTTAGATTGTAATCCTCAACCACTATCAGGCATAGATGCCAAGTGCATGCCTTAGACAGTCGAAATAAGATGCACAAGGAGCAGTGACCAGTGAGCAAAGTTGTGGTTGCTGTTGAATACTTGTAGATCAAACATGACAAATTAGTATCAAGGACATCAAGCAGAAGTAAATTTTTGGAAACAATAGCAGGGATTAAACCCCGTGGTTGCACTTAACAAAACCACATTCAATGAATTCATTTTAGTTCCAGCTCACCAACACTTTGTTTCAATTCTTGTCGTCTTACCTAATTCATAATACCACCTTAAGGCTGGCTGTATATATTGATTATAAAGGATATAGAAACTTCATGGTGACCTCACCGCACGCACGCCTGCCATGAAATATTAGAATCAGAAGGGGAACTTAAACTTCTTTCGAAGGCCTTTCCTTACTCATTCTCTCAGAAAAGAGTGAACAGACGTCTTCATACATACGGAGTGTTAAGAAAGACGAGACATGGGTGCGGCGTTGTTGTTCACACAAAGCAAGGAATCTTACAACACTCACACATTTGCTGGCTTTGCATTGAAATGAGTCTATTGTTAAGATTTTTTTATAGTCTTCTCCCAGAAAACTTCATCCCAGAATATAATTCTTCATTATATCTGAAGAATTAATCCTCTAAAATTAGCTCTCTCTAACACTTAATCAACACTACCTTTTGATTGACTTCTAACTATATATATCATTGGCATCAATGACAAATAAAATCATTTAACATCATCTATACATAGAAAATAATTAGAAGTTTTGTGTTGATTCAAGTTCTACAAGCTGGTCTTGAGCTATTTATCTACCGTATTGATATTGAGCTATTTAACTTGGTGGAGAAAAGAAAAACTAATTGGCCTTTGATCATAAATGTCAGGTATTATATCACAGATGTGGAAGATGATTAATTTGTTCGATTTGAGTATAGAACCCAAACTCTTCACAATGAAAGCAATTACATGACCACGAAATTACTCATTATACTAGCAAATCCATCACATGTATAGAGCAACGAGTCCACTAATACATCCAAGCGTGTGTTTGGGAAACTGCCTCATAAAACGCATGAAAGCATGTATACCATACGCTTTTTGAAACAATGCCACCAACATAAGTGGAAGATGGGAAAATTGATTTATGACAAGACCTATTTGATCAAAAATTCTAAATGCCAATTTCTGGAAACAATAAATCATGTTCTATGACTTCAAACACAGGTCATCCAAGTCTCCAATGTAGAATGATTGTTGACAGATTGCATGAATCATTCCTTCCAAACGGCATGATTCAGAAGTGACATTCTACTTGAGCTCTACTCACACTTGATGGATCGGTATATATGACGAACAAAGAGCAAAGCAGCTCGGAATCCAACCATGCCGAGCATAAGGAAGAAACCATAACAGATGCAAGCCATGTACCCAAAGAAGAACGATGTTTGCATAAACCCTGACATGTCCGAGCGAGCATAATAATAATACCAACAGTATCCATATACAAAAAGGCCAGTTGATCCTCCACATAGGAAAGACCTGCATCATGATAAGCGAAAACATTATTTAAATCTCAACAATGGGAAGAATGGTGACATTTGCTAAGTACAAGAATATCAATCATGTAACGGCATGGTGCCATTGTAAATAAATAAATACCTATTGAAAATTCATACTTCTGGTTTCGATAGAACCATTCCAAATGATCATTCATCATAAAAAGCAAAATGAATCAAAACCAAAATACAAGTACCTCTCACTAGATTTAGAAGAATATGAATCATTACTTTGTTTGCATGAAAGAAAATCTAGCATGCACGCCCAACAAAAAAAAAATCAAATCATATTCTCCCACAATGTCACATGGGGTTTAGATGACAAATAATGTGTGAGGTCTCTGAAATCTTGCAAAAAAAACTCTCCCAGATGAGCTAAAAAATTTGAGCACCAGGAGAAAAACTAAATGTAACTCCATCAGTCAAATCTCTTGAGAACTTGTGCAAAACAAATCCACTTGATGGGAAAGAACTGATTAAACTATTTTTCAGAAGTAAATTGATTAAAGAATCAAGTGACAATAGTAAAAATAACAATGTCCTTATCAATCACCACGAGGATGAGAAAAACAAAGTACAGTGACCATGAATCTAGAGCTTCCATTCCTGTCTAACCTTGAACACAGCCATGAATCAGCAAGACAAAACAACCAATGGCAATATGATATGCTACCAGTCAACAAAATATTTCAAAGACTGATCCACATGATTCATAGGAGAAAGTAATTTCTTTTCTTATTGCAGGGGTGTGTTCACATATGCAGGGGCCAAATGATGAATTCAATGCCTACCCGATGCTGTATCAGTATTAACAATCACCTTGTAAGAGTAGATCAAAATAACAAAAGAGCAGGTGGTAACTATCCCCAGTTTATATTACTTGTATACCATAAAACAAATCGGGAGTTGACAAGGTAAACAAGTAAAACCCTTGTGCACACAAGAAGTTATTGTTGAACACCTTTCTCTGCTCAATTAACACTTCAGAAAACTATTACAGAATATGCAACTTAATAAATTGTATCTAGGATGAAGCAGAAGTGAAAATTTGAGAGTAGTTGTTGTCATTACACAATGTGAATTTTAGCAGTTTAAAACCCAAGAAAAATAAAATTTTATACAAAAGAATTAAATATTTTGGTACTTGGGAAAGGGTGACGTGAAGAACATGCTGCATAATATGCAAGACCAGAGAGAGAGAGAGAGAGAGACAGAGAGAGCAGCCAGTGAAAGTATTTGTCAAGCAGAAAATTTTCAAGTAACTGAAACATTAACATAGGAATATATAACAGAATGTAATAGTTCTTATCGACAAACCTGAATAAGTAAGGAAATAATTTTTTAACAAAGAATATATAAATGTAATGTTGAGCAATTATCAGTTAAGGATTTTGAAATTTGGGCTGTCTTTCTTGCAAATTGAAATAATAAATTAACATAAAGACTATAAGTATGTTATGCACACATATCAGAAAAAAATAAATATGCACAATATGTTTTGAGAATGCATTTTAAGCAAAAATAAGAGTTAATGACTGATCCATATCCTCTTTCCATTTGAGATGCACACTTGCATATTAATAATAACAACAACAGCAATAAGCAGCCGTAATATTTTAATCATTTGGGATCAGCTAGATTGAACTTTTTCTGTCAATAAGCTCTGTGAAAAAACAATACCTAGGTTATTTGCCCGTATGATCAACACTTGCACATCAATCACAGGGGCAAACACAGAACAATGAGACTAGGGTTTCTTCCATCTTAATCTTATGATGAAGAGTTGGGAACAGCACATATTAATTGGGTTGACGTCACTTTTATCCATGGTATCTAAAATAAATTAATGCATGCTAGAATCAACAATTGAACCACACATCATATAATATGTATGTTTTACTACATTCATAAATTAGGTTCTGAAACTGAATAATGTAAAGAGTAAGCTTAAATTTTTTCAGCTGCTGAATACCATCTAGCATAGTCCAAACAAACCATGTTAAACATGCAATTCATGTATTACCATACTTATCAGAACAAACTAACATGCTACAGTTTCTTTGCTTGCAACCTTTCTCGTTGTGAGATATATGATAACAATGAGCTAATATCTCAAAGAAAACAGCAATAAAATATCAAAATCAGTAGTATATACACAATAGCATATTGTCAAAAAAAATAAATTCTTTCTGAATGTATTAAGATTCTGAATTTTTCTAGACTTTGGAAATAGAATTTCTTGATTGGTTTGCAAGCATTTATCACTATATTTTATTTGTAAAACTTTAGTTGGCAACTGCATTTTGGAATTCATTAACTGCGTTTTGTTACATTGCTTATCAATTATGTTGGAACCATGTATGAGACTACATAGCCATTGTTAAAGATCTTTGGAAAAATATTAAGGAAGCCTTTGGATGTTCGCCAAAATTATTATATAGACTTTTATGAAACTTTCAATTATCTGAGTGTCATGTTGTTTAAGAAATTTTCACAAAATCTACTTAATCTAGAAGTTACAAATTTCTACTTTGGAAGTAGAATTTCTTGATTGGTTTTCAAAAGAGAACTATTAGTCATGGCCCAGGGAAAGCATTGGTCATAAGGAGAAAAAATTATCATATTCAAAAATTTCAATCAAAGTAGAAATTTGTAACTTCTAGATCAAGTAGATTTTGTGAAAAACAGTGATTTAAAAAGCGCTAGGGACCAAAAGGGGCTAAGGTCCTAAAACGCTCGAGGTGCTAAGGGCTCGCCCAAACGAAGCGAGGCACTCTAAAATATTAAAATATAAAAAATATATTTTTATATTTTAAAATATTAAAATATAAAAAATATATTTTAATATTTTAAAATATTAAATATATAAAAAATATATTTTTTAATATTTTAAAATATTAAAATATAAAATATAAAAAATATTTTAATATTTTAAAATTTTCTCTACTATTAACAGTAGAGTGTGAGAAGGAGAACGAGGTGAGACGCTGGATCACAGTGAGAACTGAGTCACGGACAAGAGGCTATTGTCTAAGAGCAGGGACATCGGTAGTAGAGAGCAACGACAACGGGCAATAGCGGAGAGCAACGGTAGCTGCAGCAGATGGCAACAGAGAGCAGCAGCAACGTTAGCGGAGAGCAGTGACAGCGGCAGTGGAGAGCAGCAGGCAGCAGCGGAGAGAGGCAACGATAATGGCAGCGGAGAGAAACGACAACGACAGCGGAGAGCAATGATAGCGATAGCAGCAGCGACAACAGCAACAGTGGGAGGAAGTCGTGAGGGGGAGGCTGCAAAGCAACCAATGCAGATGCGACCGAACTAGATCTAAAAAGCTGGTTTGGTCACCTGGTTTAAATCGGGCGCTCACCCGAAGCACCCAACGCTTGGGCTCGAGCGAGCGCCTAAGCGACACCTCTTTGAAGCGCACCGCCTGGACATTAAACGAGGCGCTTGAGCCTCGCCTCACCTAGCCTCGCCCGAGCGCTTAGGCAAGCGCCCGACCACTTTTTGAAATCACTGGAGAAATTTGCTTAAACGTTAACACCCAGATGACTCAAAGTTTCATAAAGTCTATATAATAATTTTAGCAAACATCCATAGGCATCCTTAATATTCTTCAAAGATCTTTAACAATGGCTATGTAATCTCATACATGATTCCCAACAGAATTGATAATCAGTGTATCAAAATGCAGTTGATACCAACTAATGTTTTACAAATAAAATATAGTGACAAAATGCTTGCATAGATATAAGCATGCAAAAAATGATAATCTGAATTCTGAAACACAAAAGCATCTCACTATGCAGCAGCAATTAAATTTCTGAAAAGAAGAGGCATCTTGCTGTATGCAGCAACAAGTTGTGTAAAGAAAGATGGTGCATGGATGCATGGTAACTGATGTATGTTAACAAGTTTAACAAAAATTTTTGTTGCCAATACAAAAACACTTGTCTTACCTCCACCACCATTCATGGTCCTCAGCAGCAAGTTGAAAGTAGGTCAGTGCCACAGTTATAAAAGCAGTGACAATGATGAGGATAATGAAGACAATGAAGAGAATGCTATATATGGTATAAATTCTGTGACCCCACACACTTGCAAATATGTAGTAAAGCTCAATGTAGATTGCACTGAAAGGAAGAAAACCAGCCATTATCATCTGCGGAATAGCTTGTCGATACCAGGGCAATTCTGGAATCTCTCTAGGATATTTTGTCGTACGACAAGGTGCTTGGAACTCTATTTTGCTGTTTTTACCAGCAATTCCACCCAAAACAAGCAAAGGAGAGGTCACCAACGTCCATATGAGGACAATCACAACAATAGTTCCAAACGGTAATGCTGCAGTAGCACTATACACAATGGCAACAGTGTTGAGGAAGCAGAATGTCAGGAACAGAGGTCCACAGAAAAGGCATCCTGTCAATAGCAAATTTCTTACCTGCCAGTCAAAAAGGAAGATATTTGTAACCTTATATATAGGTCGATTGTTACATTTTCTAAATTAAGCATATGCATGAAATATGAAGCTATGCATCACAGAAAAAAAAAGCTGTGAAAAACAAGCAGAAAAAGACATACCCAATTTGTCCCTTCGAGCTGACAATAGAATGAGGTTGCAGCATATCCAGCAATGCCCGAGGTAAGTGCATAAATGATCACAAGAGCAGTAAAAAGAGCACCACGATTGTAGGGGTAAAACACCCCAACAAGTGCAAGAATAAAAATGAAAACCGTCCTGCCATGCATGCAAAAAAAGAAGGTTAAGGCAAATCAAGATAAACAATATGTCGTGCAATAAAACCTTCAATAGCCTATGTATACTCCAAGGTTTCAACACTCAAAACAGCTCTAACTTAATATTAAAGAAAAAAGTTGGTCCTTACAATTCAGCTTTTACCATTTGCAAATTAATAAAAGCAAACTTCACCAATTATACTTACAGAGTAAATAATTGTGTGCCAGAACCAAGACAGGCAGCCAGCAGTGACTTGTTCTTTGGAAACCTAAAGACATCACCATGGATATATTTCCACCCAGTCTCTTCTTGGTCCTCAGCAGACTCCTCATCATGTGCATACCTAGAACAAAGGCCCAAGGAATACATAAGAATTGAGTTGAGTTTAAATTTCTAAGAGCAAAACACAAAATTGTTAAGACATAAATTTGCTCCCTGGACAAGGACCATTAGGCTGTGAAGTGAGAACAATGGCAAACTACACTACTTACGAGTTCAAATATTAGTGCCAAATGTTGTTGTGTATGAAAAACAAAGTGGCATTCCCAAGGCTATATTATTTAAAATGTAATATTATGTCGCATAACCTGGGGTTAGCTAAATGTTCCAAGTAAACTAGTAGAAACAGATCAAAGAAATCAATGCATAGAAATGTGTATGAAATTCAAAATCTTCCCAACATCTTGGTGTACAGTTTCCCATGTCTATATTAACAGAAACATTTCCTACAACCCAGGACAACATCATGCCCCACCACACAAGATAAGTTCAATGTGAGAAGAAATAGGATGGTGGCAAGCTTTTTGGGAAGATATAAGCTGCTAGTGGTGGCACTGCATAAGCCTTCTGACACAAAGGATTAAGTGAATTGCAAATGGCTTCTTTCAGTCACATATGAATATTGATGAATATAATTTTCTCAAGGAAAAAGACAGATACCAAAGAAAAAAGAAAAAGATTTTTGCTAGAAGTTCTGGTTCAAAATAATAGTTAGGAAAGATGACACTCCCAGAAGCACTTACCACTGTCTAGGCATAGAACATATACTATTATAGTATCATGCAGGTAACTACAACAGTCTAATATAGTTGAGATTTAAAGTTCATAATGTGGAGTTGAAAGATCACAAAAACATGATCATTAAGATATAACATACGAATGCCTATTATTTGACATCCATAACCAGCTAATCCAGCTGTTGCACTTTTTTTTAAAAATTAACCACTCCATGATGTACTATCTACATATAACTTTGGCATATACATCTTTGCATATATCGAATAACATCTAGATATGCAAGCAATCCTCAGTACTGACCATTCCTCATACTGTTTTAGTACTCTAGGGTTTTTCCTCCTTTTACATAGCTTAATAAATGATCATTACAAAAGCAATTATCCTAACTACTTGCAAAAGAATCTCTTAGTGCTTAAATTGTTTCAATAAAACTTTTAAATTTGATCTTATGGGAACAAAGACATATAATATAAAAAATCCAACTGAATATATGTTAAGGCTGAACAGAATCATTTCCATCATCAAATATTCTATCATCTAACGACTTTCATAGGGCTCAAAATTTATTTGAATTAAATAATAGAGATGGCAGTAGATATTCAGGCATCACCAGGGTCTCGTAACCAGATACATAGGAAACAGGTTAGGATAAACATTTATTTAATTCACTCACACACAGGCCCATATTTGGAAATCAGTCTACATTTCAACTCTTAAGTATTTTCCACCAACAATTATATGTTCTGCAACAAAATAAAACCATAAAAGCCAAGGGACAGAAATGTGGAAGATTCATTACTTGACAAAATCGTTTTTCAGCACCCTCATGAGAATTGTGGCAAGGAATCCAGTCAAGAGAAGAACTGTCACACATGAGTTGATAATTGAGAACCAATGGATCTCCAGGTGATGAGGTAACGAAGAAGTCTGGGAGTACTTCTCCATCCTCTTCTCAAATGGTGTGCTGGTCTCCTTCCACTTCACAGAGTATAAGAATTCTACTTCGGTATCCCTGTCCTCTGTCACATCCAACAATGTATTGGGATCGGTGTGGACAATAATCTCAATCACCCGGTCATTGTTGTACAGAACATCGAAGTGGAAGCGCTTGTAGAGGTAGTACTTGTACTCCCCAAGGTCCTTGCCTTCCTTGTCAACCTTACCAATGAATCCCCAGAGTGGGAGATCATCATAGTACATCTGGAAGTAGTAGTCCTTGGTGACTGCACTCCTGAACTTGGCTACATCTTCTTTTTTTAGCTTCTTCTTGCAAAGCACTTCAGACTCACGATCAACACGAAAATCAAGCTTATATGGTGCATCAACCAAGCGGTCCCCATTCAGAACTTCACCAAGTGCTTCTTTTTTCTCGGTCACATGCTCTGTTATCAAGATCAATATGAAATGAACGTATAAAAGAAAACAGGATGGATGGTGGGATAAAGACTAAATCAGGAACGTACCTGGGGTGCAAAATGGTAGATCGAAATATCGATATGTCTCGCTGTAAATGCATAAACAAGTGCGAGGAGTAAGAACAAAAGGAAGAGAAAATACATATCATAATTCGAAAAAGGACGAACGATAAAAGAAAAAGAAATCCATTCAATCTCAGATAAAGAACCGTAAACTCTCAGAAACCGAAAGCTTCCTTACGGGTGTAAACTTAAAGACTACTTTGGAAAGCTTGCTTGTTTATCAAAGATTTCAACAAAGATAGAACCGTCTCAAAATCCCTTGTCACATGATCAGAAGACATAAATCCCTTGTCACAAAATCTGCTATCAAGGAAGTAACCACAGAGGACATTTGCTATCTTTGGAACATATAGAACCGTCTCGAAGGCTCGCCAACTCGCTCACGACCTGATATCAAGAACAACGAGGAGAAATCCGCAATGTTCTGCAGATGCGATCAAGAAAAGACTAGTCCGTGATTATATACCCTGAAATTGGTCTGATCTTCCGAATGGTCAAGGATACGTCTCGGATCACGAAAGAACGAGGAGAGATCTGAGGTGAGGGAAGGACGAGGGCCTCACCTGGGGTTGTGGAAAGGGCCGACCTTGTTGACGTAGAGCGGGACGTGGTCGCCCGTCTTGTACCGGTGGTTGGAGGCGTCCGATCTGACTCCGACGACGCCGAAACACAGCAGCAGCGTGGCCACGGCCACCACCGCCGCGAGATCCATCGCCGATCTCCCCATCTCCATCGATCGAGATCTGTCCCTCCTCCCTATTCGGTCAAAGAGGCGAGGAATCGAAGTGCGAGTCCATTTATACACACGGAGAGCGAGAGATCAGATCGAGTCCAAGGCTATTTTTAATTAAGAGGGTTAAAAGAGATGACCGAGAGATCAAGGGGTGGGATCAGTTTTACACAAAATTACATATAGATCCCTCTCCAATCAGTAATTATTTTATTTATTTATTTCAGGTAAACCCAGCAACTTGAGTTGTAATTGTAGGTATTGTTAAGACCCTTTAAAATTAATATTAGTACACTAAGTTGTAAGAAAAACAAAATTTTGTATATATTATTTTTATTTTTATTTACTTCAACTAGCTATTTGCAACCTCAATTGATTATTGTTTTACATGAGACGCTAAACTTGACGTTAATACCTTTAAATGGTAATATATGCATTTCACATTGTCTTGGAAAGATCGTTTATAGTAGTTAATCTGAGTTTCCATGAGAGACGTAATGGAAGGGATATCCATGGACATATTGTTATGTTAAAAGGAACCATATGTATACAAATCTTCGATATTGGTTTAATATTCTAATTTGATATAAATTATGATTTTCATCAACTATAATATGAAAAGCAAAATAATTCTTGTTGTGTGGGTTGATATTTTTTTATTTTGGGTGATTTCTTCTACAAATTTTCTTAAATGACTAAATGCATGCAACGACTCCAATTTTACATAGATTTATAGTAATTAATTACTCGTTCATTCTTTCCCAACCGAGGGACTAACTATGCATACAAGGAATCAGCATGCAACACCTACCCACCCCATTCTATGTCCTCATTCCATTCCCATTTAAAAGGGCAGGAGCGGGGATGGAGAACCCTCATTTGTGATCCGGAACCCGTGGATTATTTATACTCTGCTAATTTTTTTACTTATTATTAAAATTAATTAATAATATCGATTTTTATAAAATAATAATATTTATAAAAAATATCATAATAATATTTAAAAAAATAAATAATAATATTTATATACATATATATATATATACATATATACAAATATACATATACATATATATATATATATATACATATACATATATATATACATATACATATATATATACACATATATATATATGTACATATATATATATGTATATGTACATATATATATGTATATGTACATATACATATATATATGTACATATACATATATATATGTACATATATATATATATATATATACATATGTGTATATATATATATACATATACATATACATATATATAATTACTCATAAAAAAATTAATAATGGGGTTTTATCATGTTTGTTTTTTTACTATGGGTGCTCATTTTTCACATTAGGACCAAAATACCTTTATTAAAATTTAAAAAGATACTTAATATTCATTTTTCATGATTGACTCTAGTTTATTTAGGTTGAAGTAGTTTGTTGGACATGAATCAAATTAGATTTGTTAAATAAAACTCTATGTATTTGATTTAATATTAGTAGGGTCTAGATTGTTTTTTATTTTTTCCCAAGTCACCTCTCGACTCATTCCACTCATGCAATAGCAACATACTAGTTGGTCATCATTGCCAACCTTCTCATTGGTGATGTTCATTGAAGAAAGGATGGAGTAAGCCCAAGCTTCCTTTATAGCTACAGTAAGGGTGTCAGTTGTTTAAAAAAGCGATTAGAGGAGAGGAAGGGAGGTCACTATCATCATTAGTAACAAGGTAAAAGGTGGCTGTTGCCTTCCCAACAACAACACGTGGGCTTTCCTATTGTTCATCATTGCAGTGGTTACCAATTGGGTGAGTATTGAGACTATGATCACCGGAATTCTCCATGGCAATCATCGTCGAGAAGTCATCCACCGAAAAAAAAAGGGTATAAATTCATAAAGTTATGATAATTTAGGATAAACTCTAAAATTATCTAAAATAATTTAGGATAAGTTAGAACTACAATACCTAGTTTAAAAAATAAATTATAAAATCATCTAAAAATAAAAAAATAATTTAAGATAAATTATATTAAACATGTTAGAAACATATTTATAGTCTTTCAGAAGTTTAAATAGGCTTGAGAATAACTCTAATATTTATGCTTAATTATACTTGATCATAAATTTAATATAAAAATCTCATATTTGTCAATTAATGACTCAAAAATTAGAAAAAATTAATAAAAAATATGTTACAAATATATTATTATAGTTTTGGAGAAGTTTAAGTATGTTTGAGGATAATTCTAATATTTACACTCAAGTGACATTCGGGTTGTACTCAAGTTACACAATTATAGATTCAATGTAAATCTCATATTTCACCAATTATTGATCATAAAATAAAATAATATCAAAATTATGTCATAAACCTTTTGATGATTAAACCAATTGATAGCGTTTATCTGATCTATATTTTGAGTGACGTAGGAAGTTTCGATCAAGGAAAGACAATTAAAAGCAGGAAGAATCATGTTAGACCAAAGTGAAACATATTAGAAGATTGGATGTCGAGCTGGAGGATCAACCAATATATCGGCAGAATGCTTCGGGCCATAGGTGTTGAATCTTAGATTTTGATGATGAAACCAATCAATATGTGTTTATGTTTTAATTTACGTTTTGAGTGACGTAGGATGCTTCGATCAGGATGAGACAATTAAAGTAGGAAAATCATATTAGGCCGGAGGAATATGTCAGAAGATTGGACGTCGGGCCGGTGCATCGGTCGACATATCGATAGAAGGCTTCGTGTCATGGATTCGGGCATCAGGCCAAGAAGAGCGGACATTGCGCTAAGGATATCGGAGTTGCGAAGTCAACTGGCTGATTAGGCAATAGGCCGCAGGAAAGGACGATGCACCGAAGAATCGGACGAAGTATCGAGGGACCAATGTGTTAGGATCGAGAGCACTAAGAGGGGGGGGGGGGGGGGGGTGAAGTTAGTGTAGCGGAAATCTTTCAGCGATTAAAATCGAAAGACTGCGTTCGTTCGA